ACATGCCACGTACTTCCGCCTTCAACCGCGACGGCCGAGCCAGGCCCTGAAGCGCCGCATATATCCGTTTCCCAGACGCTTTGTTACCGAGCCGCTGCCATTGCGTTGCCGCCGTGTTGCCGTTGCGTTGCATTCGCCACGGCGTTGCGCTCGCCCACCGCCATCGCATGCACTGCCACCTCTATCCGCAGCAGTCTCGGCTCAGTACTCGCAGCTTCCAGCTACTGCTTTTATTGCCGCTAATACCAGCGCGCCCCAGCAGGGGCGGCAGGCTCTGCCACCGCCACAGCTACCAACTGCAACGCTCTCCAAGAATGTGGAAGCGCTTAAGAAGATACGCGCAATCACGGGGAAGCATGCAAAATGCTACGTTCGCGCGATTGACCCAAAAGTCATGGACAACAGTTTCAAATCGCGCGGTTAGACAGCTCAGGCGCTCAGGACCCGTCTCAGTTTATGATGGGCTTCGTCCCTTCTGAGTTCAAGAATCGCCAGGCCGCCCCCAGCACGGAAGCAACGCTTGTCAGCAACAGCCCGCGGGAGATCACGGCGCCGTCGCTTGACGCCGAGGGAAAGTCGGATTATAATGGGTGCCCGCTGAAGGCTGGTCTCTCGCTGAAAGCTCCCGCGCAACAGAAAGAGGTCACGCCCGAGTTTCAGGCCGCCTGCGCTTGCCCTGCTTGCGGGTTACAGGTTGCGCTCGACATCGAGGGCATGATGCAGGCGCCCCAGCGCGCAGGCTCTGCCACGCGCTCCAGTTGGACATTTGATTTTTGTGGGAAACTCGCTGATCTTACCAATCAAAAGTCTGCAACCCAAAACCGGGCGACCCGCCCAGTCTCGCAAGCGACGTTCCTGGACGGCGGCGGCGGCGGCAGAGTTGCCGCAAGCGCGCGCGGCAGCGCCCGCCGCGCCCCGGCTCGCATAGAGGCAGGGAGCGGCGCGGCCGTCGTCGGCTGCGCCGCGACAGTGGAAAATGGCCAAGTCAGGTTGAACATATGGCCAGGTGCTCGCGCGTGCGCCAACGGTGCCCAGGCTGCAGGTTTAACGGGCTTGGACACGTCCGCCGTGGCCGCCGAAACGCTCGCTGCCATTTCCACGCCAGGGCAGGGCCCCTGCATAATGGAAAGCGGGCGTGGCGCTCTCGACCTGCGCCGCGGCGCTGGGCGACGCAGTTCCGAGGAGGGCGCCGATCGCATCCCAGATCAACCGCTGCACGCTGAGGCCGCCGCCGGAAGAAGACCGCATCTCTGCCGAGAGCGGGCGCCCTTGGATCAAGAATTGCCGGCTTCGGGGCCAGACGGGCGGCGCGGACGTCGACGCCGCGCGCGCCTCCGTGCCGAACTTGTTCGGCTGCGCCGCGGAGGAGGAGTTGAAGGAGCGCGCCCGCGCTCAGTCTCCGACAAGCGCGCGGCGCCGCCTGAACGTTCGCGGCGTCTTGCGCGACGAGGGGGCGCCGTGCGAAGGCGCATCGCGACGTCGGAGGCCGCGCTGCTGAACGCGGTCGTCTCTGCCGAAGCCACGCGTCTCAGCGCAGGTCGATGCGACGCGCCCGGTGACGTCGCGCGCCCTGGCCCAGCATCTCGGCCCCACGACGCCCCGCTGATCGGCGCGGCGCTTGCGCGGGACAACGGCGAACCTTTTGGCGCCCTCGGTGTTTCTGCTGGTCCGCGGCGCCCGGGCGACTGACTGCGACAGCGTCGACGAGTCGCTTCCGACGCCGCGGCAAGTGTTCCAGGTCACATCCAAGAGCGCCCAGTGCCATCTGAGCGACCCAGCAGTCACGATCATTCTCGTGGGCTACTCGAACTTCAAGGGGATGCTGGCGCACCGCCTCGACAAGTAGGTCGCCCTGGTCTTGGTTTCGGCAGCGGACGCGAAGTTTACTGGGCGGGGCGCCGCCGTGGACCACGCACAGACGGCGTCTCGGGGCGAGGCGCGCCAGCTTACGGCAAGCATGGAGGCCGAGCGAAAATCGGTCGCAGCGGCCCCGTCGCCAGCATCAGTAAAGGGGGGGCCATACTGGTCGGAGGAAAGGGCGCCGAAGTGGAGGCGGTCGCTCTCGGGGCCTCCGTCGCCAACGCCGCGGCAGCCCCAGTTCTCCCAGTAGGCGCGCGCGCGCTACAAGTCGCCAGACTCTGTCAGCGGGAAGCGGGCGGCGAGTGCGAGGGGCAGGGTGCGCTGGGCTTCCCAGCGCGAGCGGGGTTGCCATAGGGGCGTTTTGTTTGTTTACGTTTCCCAAGGTGCGCAGCCGCAAGAGCATGCGCCAGCACGATGTATACGCCCAGGGCGTTCGGTATAGGAGTGGGCCCGCGACCGAGCGACGCTGGCGTCGCGCCATGGTGCGCCAGCATATAGCAAGAAACATCTTGTCACATCGCTTCGCCCATGCCACTGCTGCGGGCGTGGCATTCTGCCCACCGCTACCGCCAGCGCCACCACCGGCAGCAGCGAGCACCGCCGCCACCGCCAGCAGCAACCGCGAGAGACCAGATCCACCACTGTCACTGCAAGCACCACCCCCGCTACCATCGCCACCGTCAGCACCGCCTCCACCACCGCGCCCACCACCACCCCCACCGCCATTGCATCGCGAGCACCATCCACAGTGACCATCAGCGGTCCAGAAGCAACGTCGTCATTGTCAGAGTCGCTGCCGCCTAACCCTCATGACCGCCATTAGTACCACTGCTCTCACCATTGCCACCCTTGGCACCGCCGCCGCGCTACCAGCGCGGCTGGTTTGGTTAAAAACCGGCTGGGGCACGCAGTCGCCGATGGCCAGCGCCTCTGCAGCGCCGGCCCAGCGCTCGGCGCTGCTGGCGGCAGGCTCTGCCACCGCCAAGGAAGTGCACCTGAAAGTTGTGTTGCGAGTGGTGATATCCGGGGGTCGTCGACGTGGAGGCGTCCGAACGGGGGCGCGCACATCGCCATGTGCCTGCTCGCATCGGGCGCGCGCTACAAGGCCTGGCGCGGCCTGCGGGCATCCCGCTGGGGCGCCCGCAGCGGCGGCGGCCTCTGGCGCCCGGCCGCGCCACCAGCTGGGGATGGCTATTACGCGGGCAACCGGTCCGCGCGTTTCGGCAAGCACTCGTGCCCACCCAGTCCTCGCGAAATTGCTGGTATGCTTTTTCCGGCACCATGTGCCGAAGTTGCAGTTCTGCCGCGCAGCAGTCCCGCACTCCTCTGAGGCAGGCGCGCATGAAGACCCGAATGTGGGCCAGACGGCGCTGATCGTAATCGAGCGCTTCACAGGTGGTCGTCTGTAGCGGTGCGATGTCGGTGCCCGCCAAATTGTCATTGAGGCCGTGAAGAACAAGTTTGTCTTGTTCAGTGCCCGGGAGCCGCGTGGCACGCGTGCCTTTGGCAGGGGCCCCCGCTTCACAGTGACTGCGCACGTGCGCGCGTGCACTTGCGGCGCAGAGGTAACTGAGCAGTCGCGCAGACTTGAGTTTCTGCTGCCCGGCGGCGAGGACGCCGCCGGGCACGGAGGCCCAGCTGTTGCGAATGGCGCGCGCAGCCTGGGGGCAGCCACGCGGCCGGTCCAGCGGCCAGAAATGGCCGTCGCCCAGGGGCGCGCCGAGCTAGCGTTTGGAAATGCCGCTGGCGCGGCGCGCTCGGCGCCCAGCACGCAGGTAGGCAGCGCAAGATATGTCTTCGCAAAAACTGCGCATTTCGATCCAAGCGGGCGCAGAGGTGAGGGTGAAAGACAAAGACGGAGGCGTAGGCCCAGGCTCTGTCTGGCCTGCGTGGGCCGATGCTTCGCGAAGTGCCAGATCTGAGTCGGGTCGATGCGGCGCGGCGGCGGAACTGGGGGATCGGCGCGGCGACACCATCATCACCGTCGCCGCCATCACCGCCATAACCACCACCACCTCCGCTCACCACCATAGGGAAAAATATATAGAGCAAGAGATTGATAGTTCGATGGGTCTATATAGAGATAAATATGGACGGATAGAGAGATAGAGATCTATAAACATGGATAGATAGATAACTAGGTAGGTGAATATCTAGATGTATAGACAGATCGCTCGGTATATGGATAGATATATGGCTATTATGAATAAGAAGTCGGTATATACGTCGAACGATTTATAGGAGAAATTCAGAGCCATTGAAGATCGACCGCTTCACCCTTCCCCCCGGCCTCCTTATCACACGTAGGGTGGTCCTATCGGTATGACTGCCCCGTGCTCCCTTTCCAAATTGGCGAAAACTGCCAGAACTTGACGAAACAGTTACTGCTTCGGAGGAAACCAGGAGTCAAAAAGTAATCACCCAGACGTGTCTTGAGTGCGTTCTTGCCAGGGGATCGAGGCGGATCCGGCCGCGGCGACGAAAGAGCCCCAGGAGGCCCCTGCGATGACGTCAAGACGCCTCGCTCACCGAACCCGATCCGCGATGGCGGGAAGCCGCGGGGAGGAAGCAAATCCTTCGGAGGTTTCGGAGCAGGGCCAGGGGCAACGGGGGGTGGCTAGAAGCTCACGTTGGAAGGCGTCGACCCCCGATCGCCCATTCATCGCCGATGCGGTGGGGGCGGTTGTTAAGGAACGGCCCTAGGAGGCGCCAGACCTTGGAAGATCCCTCTTCCAATGAGGGGGCGGTGATATCCATGGCCGATCCACGATTCGAGTTCCAATGGCCTCCACCGAACCTTGGACTCCATGTCCAAAGAGTTCAGTGTCCAACGCCCCCACCGTAGGGGCTAGAGAGCCCATTCCGCCAGGAATGGTAGGGTGTCGCTCTGCCAGGGGCGTGTCGCTGACCGGCTGGCGAGGTATCGTCTGTTCTGGGTCGACGTTTCTTGCCCCCGCTTGAGCCAGTCCCCATCCGTGACCTTTTCAGAGTGCTCAGAGCTAGCCCTCCTGTAGACCTATCCGGGCTGCCTAAGAAACCTCGGCAGGAAGCTCGACGTCGACATCCTGGTGCTGCTTTGAGCCCTCCTGGAAGGTCAGGGATTCCCTTCCCCCTCGCGGGGCTGCCCTCTGCGGAGAGAGGTCGCCTGGGAGCGCTGCCCGAACAGGCGCCCGCCGCCCCTGTGGCGCGAGGCCAGCGAGGACTGCTTAGCTGTGCTCATCCAGCACTGCTTCGGCGACCCCGCCGAGGAGCGGGCGGTGCCCACGAGCGACGAACACGTGGGGAGCGTTCCTGCCAGTCTCGGGTCTGTTTTGTCGCTTTCGGCGTCCGGTGTCCCGCTGCCGGGACACAGTCGATCCGGGATGAAAGTCTGGCTCGGGTGGCTCCAGGGGAGGTCCGGGGAAAGATTCAGATTCGAACGTCTCCATATCAAATCCCTGGCGGCCTGGATGGGGCGCGCTCCCCTGGATACTGATGTGTGATCCTCGCGTGGGCCATCCGCGCAAGGCCCGCCCGGTATCCGTGGGGTCGCGGCAGAGGAGTCCAGACCGCGAGGTTGTGGATGTGCACACATTTGCCGCTCACGAGGTGCAGCTGAGGCCGTTCCCAGACAGGCGGGCCTTCTCCTGCCTGCGGAAGGCCCGGGAGACCATCGCTGCCAGTCCAGTCCTCCGCCCGAGGTTCGAGGAGTTGTGCGTTGGTGACGGGTGCTCCCCCTTTTTGCGGGGCCTTTGGGAGGCTTCTAGTCGCCAGAGCTGGACTCGCTTTGAAATCCTGGGCAGAACGCGCCCCGGGAGAAATCTCGCGGTGGGGGGGCGCCTTGTCAGGGCCATCCGAGCATCCCCGGAACGCCCTCAACGAGGCGGAGCTGCTGAAAGGCATCCCGAGGCGAGGAAGCCTCCAACAACCGTCGTAAGTTCAGCACGTTGATGCTTCGGGTATACGCAAGATTGACCTTAGGCAGGAGTGACCCCTGGTGCGCGGCTCCAGGGGGCCCAGCCGCCAAACCGACGAGCGCGCAGGCCAAGGCTAGGGGAGACCGTGCAGACCGAGGCAAGACTCTCAGATCCGATCGCCAGAATGCATCACCACAGCCACAGACCCCCTATTTCCCCAACCATCGCAGGCCTAGAGATTGACACCAACACCCTTCTCGGCGGTGTGCATCCACCGAGGGAAGAAGATCCCGGTCTCGGTGAGAAGTGGTAGTATGTTGGCTTCCAAGGTGACCGAAATGTTACCACCAACACCGAAATCTAGGATCATCTTCCCCCTGCAGAGGCAATCCCCTGTGTTGGTGTTGGTGCCCATTCCCTGGCCTCCAAGGTCAGTGCTTGCACTGAAAGGGTCCTAGCGGAAATTGAAAGATTTGGCGGAAGTTCCCCGCCGATTTTGGTAGCCGACTGGGTTCCCGGTTTCCCGGGTTCTTGGTCATTGGTGCCAAGCCGATTTCGGTGGGTTCCGTGTTCCCGGGCTCACGATTCATCAAATCATCCATTGGTTGGGATTTTTCTTTGGTACAAATCTGCTGTATTGTCCGAACGGGACCGACAGGTGATGATCCTGGGGCCCGAAGCCCAGCGAAAACGCCTCTCGCGACACAAAGATTCGACGCCTGGATCTCAGGGGAACCGTCGAACACACGCTCACGAAGCTTGGGCGTGCGCGCAACGAGGGCCTCCCAAGGCCGCCAGCTCGCCGTGCAGGGGGGCGGCCCTCCGTGCGTGCTGCGCCGGGCTAGGGTGCCACGAGGAGCCCGCCGGCGGCCGGGGCGTGCTGGAGGAGCTGGTGCCGGATTCATGTTCGGCCTCGGCCGACGGTAGCAGCTCCGGCGTGACCAGGTTGACGAAGAACAAATCCGGCAGCAGCGCACTGGTAGGCTGTCGGCTGCTCACAGACAGCCCCCCCCCCCCCGAGATCTTCCCAGCTGGCCTCGACGGGCACCCCGACCACCGTCCGAGGCCAGTTGGGACTACTCGGGGGCCCGATATTGAGGCCAGCCGGGGCTGCTTATCTGGGGGGCACGTCTGCGCACCATCCGAAGCTTTTACCAAAACACACGGGGCGCACAAGTGTGCCCTGAAGAGAAATCATTCAGTTATGTTGGCTACAGGGCTCACGGAACCTGCCATGCGGTCAGGAATGTTTGCCCAGGCTGTCGCGCCGCTGTTTCTGGCCCGACACGCTTCGGCGCGACACGCTAAGCGCGTCCCAGTCCCCAAGCGTCAGCGTTTCGAGCTTTTTCCCGGCATCCCGTCCCACGAAGCAGAGCGACGTGCGACCAGCTTGCAAGGCACGTCGTGCCGCAAGGGCCGCCACCGCGACACGCTGAGCTAAGACTTTTCACCGTGAACTTTCAGAGGTCCTCGCGGATGTCTTGGGTCGGCGCTGGACCCCCCTGGCGGCGCCATTGGCGCCGCTCTGGAGCGCGCGAGGGAGTGGGGTCCAGCGCCGACCCAAGAAGCCCGCGAGCGTTTACGAAAGTTGGGGTTCATGCAGATACTTTATCCTCCTGCCAGGGCCAGCAGCTCGGATTCGATGAACCTGCTGGACGAGGTGGCCAAGGATCGGGGGGCATGCAACGTCGGCTACACGCAAGCCCCTCGCTGCAGCGGCCTCCTGTGCACGGCCTTCGGGGGGCGCGAGGGGGCCAAACCCAGGCATCCATTCCGCTGCTGCCACTCTTGCGGGCAGCCTGTCGTCGAGGACGGGGGTCAGCGCTAACAGGGTGTCGGCCAGTCCCCTCCGATGCCCTGCGGCCGACCCGGGGTCGGGAGCCGCGTGGAGCTGTCCCCCGTTTCCCCGCCCGCCGCTGGACCGGGTCTGGGAGCGACTGCGCGGTTGGCCGAGCTCCGGAGCGAGGCCGTGGCTGGCCCGGGCGAGCGCCGACCTGGGCCAGCGGTTATGATGTTCCAGCCTGCTCTGGCCTGGATCACCAGATAGAATTTCGAGCACTAAGCAAGTACAGAAAGATGTGAGGGTTTTCACGTCTGGGGCCCTGGGAGACACTGCTTCGACACTCTTTCGACACTTTTCCGGGTGCTCGAAATTATTTCTGGGATGTGGCCTTTAAGTACGATGGAAGCAACATAAGGCCAGAGCGCCCCCGAAAGGATGAGCGCGGGCGGGACCGCCAGCAGCTGCTGGTCCTCGGCGGAACGGACAAAGGCATGACTGTGAGCGCTCGGAGGTCCGCGCGGATTTCTGGTGGTCGGCGTTGGACCCCCCCCCCTGCGCAGCCCCTCCGGCGCCGCCCCTTGCGCGCGAAGCGGGCCAGGGGAGGCGAGGTCCAGCGCCGACCCGAAAAGTCCGCGCGGATCTCCGACGGTATATCCGCGGCGAGCCCAGGGGGGAAGGCAGAGGGGAGGGACCTTCTCTCAGAAGGCTTTGACGGCTTATGGCCGTCTGAGAAGCTTTGTGAGCTGTGTCCGGCGACGCAGAGGGCTGCTCGGAAGGCTGAGGGCTTCTGAGAAGCCCCGCCGCCCTCTGAGCAGGCGGGCCCCCTCAGCTTTCGCCCTCCCGGGTGCGCCGCCTGGTGTATGTTTGTGCCGTTCCTTGTTCCCTGAGATCCGACGTTTGGGGAAAAATACAGCTTCGAGCAAAAGCACGATCGGAGCCCGTCCCATCTTTCTGCAGCGGCATTTTTCCAGCCGCTCCGATCTGGGATGGCCTTGGGGCCCGTAAGCGGGGGAAAACGCGTGGTGTGGAAATGCAGCGCCCGGGTCTGAGGGTCTTTCTAGGTCTGGCCTCCCGGCGTCTTTGCTGGCCACGTCGACGTGCTGGGGTCCTTCACCCAGCCGCCGTGGGGCAGGCCGCTCGCGCTGCACCTCTGCCCCGAGACCGGGGTCTGGTGGCTGGCCGTGGAGGAGGCCCTGCCGGGCCTGCAGCCGGGCACCTACGAGTTCAAGTTCCGGCGCAACGGCCAGGAGTCAGAGGAGAAAAATATGTATAGTATATATATATATATATATATATATTCGCTATGGAGGCGCCGGCAGTCACACTGGGGACTCGTTTTCAGTCGCTTTCGCGTTTTAATTTTCAACGTTTTTTTGAGTTTGTTGTCGTTGCCGCTTTTGTACAGATATGGGCAAGTGCGCGGTTGTCCTTTCTCTTGCTTCGTGGCGGTGGCTGTTTGCGACGGGCCCGCCGCCTTCTGTTGCGTGGGCCAAGCGCCGTTCTTTCGGTCGGTGCGCAGTGTGCGCGATGCGAATGTGTGGCGAGCGGACGCAAGGGGTAGCCCTTCGAGACTCCTGCCTCCTCCTTTTCTCCTCCCTGACTATTTTTCTCGTTGGCCCATTCCGCCTATCAGCTTGGTTCCTCCTCCCATGGCTACTCCTGGCTCCTTCTCTCCTGCGTCCTCCTGCTCTCCCCTATCCTGGCTGTTGCCCCTCCCCCTGTTTCCCGAATCGTTTCCCCCTGGCTGCCTGCCTCTACTCTCTTCCTCCTGTCCGGGTTCTCTTCCGCTTCTCCGAGCCCCCGCCCAGTGCCCCCCTCCCCTTCTGGCCGTTCCGCGTCCCTCCTGTCCCTCCCCCCCATTCTTCACTCCATGCTTTCGCCTCCTTCGCCTTTCCCTCCCCTTGTCCTCTCGCCTTTCCTCTCCTCTCCTCCCTCTGCCCGTTCGCCCGGCCCTCTCCCCTCTCGCTGTCCCTCTTCCGCCTCTCCCTCCAAGCTTGCCCCCTCCTGCCTCCTCTCTTTCCCTCCCTCGTCTCCAAATGCTGCCTGGACGCCCCGGGGGCCTGCTCCAGTGGTTCTCCTCGTGGTGCACACTGGCCTGGCAGTGCGATGTCGGGCACCAACGCAGCCTACCAAATCGGGCGGCGCTGGCAGTCACCAAGTGGTGCACACTGGGCCCCCCCAAGATGGTGCACAGTGGCGCTTTCGCTGTGACTTATCGCATGAAAATTCCCAGTGTGCACCAGTTGGGCCTGGAACCGTCTCCCCAGTGTGCACCACCAGTGTGCACCATCCCTTGTGTGCGCCACCAGGCCTTCCCAGTGTACCACCTGGCCTTCCCAGCGTGCACCTCCCCAGTGTGCACCACCAGTGTGCACTTCCCCAGTGTGCACCACCTGGCCTTCCCCGTGTGCACCATCCCCTGTGTGCACCACTCGGCCTCTCTCCGGCCCTTTCTGTATCCATGAACGGTCAAGCGATTTTGGATCGAAACCAGGCTGGGCTCACGCCTCCCCGTCCAGCCCCGCGCGTGGCCATGCTGGCGACACCCGCGAAACAGGCGGCCGCCCCGGCCAGCACCGCGCCGGACAAACCCAGCCTGTTGGACCTCGCCGAGGCGCGCACGGGCTATGATCCCGCAGCGGGGCGGCGTGGGCGTTGATCCCGCGCGTCCCTTCGGGAATGCGAGCTGCGAGGTGCTTGATGGCGCAAGAGGGCGCCTGTGCAACTTGCAGAAGATACATGTTGCCCTAAATAGATTGCACATGCGCTTTATTTACGGGCATGAAGCCCGACGCTGCGGGACACCGCCTCGACTTCAGCCACAAAGCGTGTGCCGTGGTAGCGTTTTGTTTTGATTTGCGCGCTCGGGTGCGGGAGTCAGAAGCGTGGCCTTTGTGGCAGGGTGTGTCGCGTGAGTGGTCCTGCGAGGACCTCTCGCCGCCTTGGACCGCAAGGCGTTTCGCGCCAGCCCCAGCGGGCATCTCCGAGCAGCGCAAGTAATTGTTGTTCGCGCCGTTATTTGGGTTTCGCCCGCCGCTTCCGAGGCTTATGATGCGATTGTGAGTTGGTCGTGCATCTGACCCCCTCGGAAAAAATGTTGGGTGCTTTGTTAAAAATCCGAATCGACTGCCGATGTGGCGGTGGCGATATATATATATATGTATATATATACACACATACATATAATAAATAAATTCCATAGAGATTTTCTGCCTGCGTCCCCGTCCCGCCCTATGATTCGCTTCCTGCTCGAGTCCGGGGCCACTGCTCGTCTCCGGTGCCGGGATGTCGCCCCGCGGTCTGAGTGCTTCGAGTCTGCTTCCCCTCCCTCTCCTCTTCCTCCTCCGCGCGACTCTGCCATGCGCGGTTGGTCAGGACGCACCCTCAGGAAGTGGCGGCGCACCTTTGGGCTCCCCCAGGACTGGGCCGTCAACCCGGCGCTGCCGGTCCGGCGCACGTCCGAAGGGGCGCAGAACAACACGCTCGTGATAGACCGGCGGCTGATGGCGCGCATCGAGCGCAGGTCGAGGGAAGAAGCGCGCTGTCCAAGAGCAGGATGCCGCGGTATCTTGTCGACGCCGATCTTTCTCATGGTCCATGCTGGCCGTTGCCGATTCGCGAGGAAGATCCAAGAATCGACGGTGGCCAAGACAGACGGTGACCAAGAGCGGCACCGACGTTTCCCTGTTCAGTCTTGGTCATGATGCCGTTCTCTTGCTGCGTGGCCCAGCCGCCATCTTGTATCCCTCGGACTCGTGGGGTCACGTGCACGGCGGACCATGACTCTGAGCATCGCGAGCAAATGCAGGAGGGGAAAACAGCTCGCCTCCACGATCGCTGTCAGCCTGAAGATAAGTCTACAACATGTGTCCCCTCAGATCTGACGTTGCAGAAACATGCAACACCGCCAAGAAGACACCACCAGAGCCCCGGACCCTATCCTGCTACGTCATCCTTCGAGCCGGATCGATCTCTGAGAGTCCCCGGGCCCCAAACTGGGCGGAAACGCTTGTCGTGGAAGTGTTGGCGCAGGTGCCCGTTGCTTTCCTTCCAGCAGGGCCGGGCAGGCCCCAGCCGCCGCGCCGCCGCGCGGCCCAGTGGGCGCTGCGGCCCAGCTGCCGTCCGCGCCGCCGCCGGCCGCGTGCCGCGGGGTGGCGCTCGCCGAGGAGGGCAGCGACGCCGCAGGCCCCGCGTCGGGCAGGCCGGACGACCATTCGGCCGACCTGCGGCTCGCGCCCAGGCGCGCCGTGTCCACGGCGGAGCTCGGAGGGGGTAAGAGTACACCCAGACATGCTCGCGTCAGGCCCCGGGACCGTTCAGAAACGCTGAGCAGATGGGGTTCGAGCAGATGAGGTCGGGAAGTCGCGCCGCATCGCTGATGCATCGGCAATGCGGCGCGATCCTCCGACCCATCTACTCGGTCCCCATATGTGAGGCCTCTAGCGGAGGAGGAAAAGGTACATACCGATGTCGCTATACTCTTGCCCCGTGTTCGCCGTCGGGGGCCTTCTGGGAGGCCCTCGTCGCCTCGGCGTCATTCGCCTGGGCGAGCTTCCACTCTGGGGAGCAGCGGCGTCGGTATATAATTTGGTTTCCCCAGGAGAGGCTCTGGAACGGCGGCGACGACGGCGGCGGCCCAGGCACCCCAGACTGGCAGCAGCGCACGGCCTCCATGCCGCGGCTTGCCAACGGAGGCTGCAGGGGGTCGCTGCCACTGGACGTCCTTGGAGGCCTGTCCGGCGTGTCGGAGGAGGAGGGCGACCTGTACGGCACGGACGTGTCGTTGCTGCTGGAGCTCCCAGATGTGAAGCGGTGCACGGGCCTCGCTCTGGTGGCGGGCGCCTTCAACAGGCCGAAGGACGGCACGGTCGGCGAGGATGCCTACTTCCTGGAGCTGCCCTTTCTCGGGGTGGCCGACGGCGTGGGCGGCATGCAGCACGTGCTGGGGCACAGCTCGAAGGCCTTTGCCGAGGCTCTGATGTCGAGGTTCGAGGAAGAAGGATCGACATAAGCACGCAAACTTTCGACGGTCCGCGCGGAGTTCTTGGATCTGCGCTGGAGACTCCCCTCCCTGGCGCGCGGGGGGAGCCAAGAGTAGCGCAGGAGGCGCCGCCAGAGGGTCCTCGGGGGATTGGAAAAGTACCGATGCCGCTGCTCTCTGGACCTCTTTCTCCTAGGGTGCGTTCTGACCAGAATTCCGAAGCGAATCCAGCCGTGGCGACGAGGGCCTACCAGGAGGCAAGGGTAGCGGTATCCGAACGTTATTCCTCCTCTAAGGCCTTGCGCCGTTCCAGGCCATCCGCGCGGAGCTCTGGAAGTGTAGATTTATGCTGTGTGTCCTTCCTACAGAGGTGCCGAGAATTTTCCTGCGAGTTCGCCGCCGCCGCCGCGACGGGCTCGCTCAGCGCGCTCGGGCCAGGCCGGGCCGCGAGGCAGGTGCTATGCGAGGGCTACCGCGAGGTGCAGGTGCACGGCGCCTCCACCGCCGTCATCTCCTGGCTCTCGAAGCAGAACAAAACTGAATTAGCATAAACGTTCGTTCGGAGCTCCGCGCGGCTTTCTTGGGCCCTCGCAGGGCCCCGGGACAATCTCAAAATTACCCAGGATGAAGAAAAAGGATCCAAGCAACGGGACCAGACGGGTCCACGTCCTGAAAGAATAGCATAACCTTAAAGTTTCGGAGCTCCTCGCGGATTTCCTGGTTCGCCGCTGGGTCCCCTGGCGGCGCCTCCAGCGCCGGTCCCAGAAGTCCGCGCAGAGTTCCGGAAGTTTTGTTTATGCAGTTGTGACTTCCTATAGGCTTGACTCCCGCACCAACAAGCTGGGCGTCGCCGTGCTCGGGGACTCGGGCGTGATGGTGGTGAGGAGGCCTACGTCCAGGCTGAGCGAGGCTGTCGGGGGCAACGTTACGGGGGGATAGGCTCAGGGGTGGAGTTGCATCGACCCCCAATCGCCCATGCAACGGCGACAGGGACCTGATATCCCGCCCCACCCATGAACGTGCGGTTCCGCTATCAGGGGCCTATCGCCGATCCATTGGCGATGAATGTCCGACTCCAAGTCGATGTTTCCCTCTGAGCCGATCCCCACCTAACGTTCCCCCTGAGGCTGCCGAGGGCAGGGTGCACAGCACGCGCAGCTCCGTGGTCTTCAAGTCCCCCTCCCAGCAGCACGACTTCAACTACCCCTACCAGCTATGCCGGCTACCCGCGGCGTTTCGGAGGCTCCGAAGAAGAAACAATGGCATAAGCATAAATTTTCGGAGCTCCGCGCGCATTTCTTGGATCGGCGTTGGGCCCCCCTGGCGCCTCTGGCGCCACAGGGGGTTTAGCACAGATCTAAGAAATCCGCGCGGATCTCCGAAGATTTACGTTTATGCAGTGGTTTCCTCCTCTAAGGCTGCAGCTCCGGGGGCCAGACAAGCCGACCGACTGCGCGGTCTTCGAGGTAGATGTCGAGGAGGTGGGGAGCGTCCAAGTCGGGGTTTTGAGGACTGAGGGTGTGTGTGTGTGTGTGCGTGTGTCGATAATATCATGGCTGCGGCAAACAATTGCAAACACAAGTCCCCGATGTCCTGGCCCCCTCTTCTTCTTATTATTATGATTATTATTATTATCCTTCTTCCTCTTATTCTTAGTATTATCAACATTTTCATTATTTTTGTCTTAGTATTATTATTATTACCATTCTTATTACTTTTCTAATTCCTAGTGTGATTCTAACGCTTTCAATGCACACCCACCCACCCCCCTCGTCCACGCACATGCTTCGTACCATAATTCGCTAGCCCCCCTCGTCTGGCTCCCCTCTCCGATGCATCCGCGGAGGGAGATCTCATCCTCTGCTACAGCGATGGTGTCGACGACAACCTCTACGACCAGGAGATCCTCGACATCTGTGACCGCGCCCTGTCGCCGTACGCGGCACACGTGCTCGGGCTGCCGGACCGGGACGCCACCCCCCCGGAGCTGGTCTCGCGCGCCGTGGGCGCCGCGGCGTACACGCGGTCGCGCGACCAGAAGGCAAGGGTGCCCTTCGCCGACGCGGCCAGGAAGGCCGGCTGGCCCACGGCGTGGTGTCGAGGCGGCAAGGATCGAGGAGCCAAACATCGGCATACTCCAAATCCTTTATCAATCGACCCCCCCTAAAAATCCGGACCCCCCTCCGAATGCGACCTAATATTCCGGACCCCTCTCTTCGACGGGTCGCTTTGATAAACCGGACCCAAAAACAGCGCCCTGATAAACCAGACCCCCCCAGTTACAAAAAAGGCGTCTTAAAAAACCGGACCCGGGGGACGATTGATAAGGGATATGGGGTACACTCACGACGTTGACATAAGGAGCAGCCAGGGTTCGGAGGGGGCTCGCCGTTAGTTAGGTTTTTCCATGGTGGTTCCTCCGGCGCCCCTCGTGCACCAGGGCGCCAGTGGGGCTCAGCATCCATACCTGATGGTAGTAGCTTGGCTGCCCGCGAAAGCTGCGGGAGGTCCGCACGGATCTCTTGGATTGGCGTCGGCCCCCCCATCCCCCCCCCCCTTGGCGCGCTCCGCTTGTTGGGCCAGGGGCGTGGGGATCGAGACCCAGAAGATCCCTGCGTTTGGCGATAAGCGCGGCTGTGTGCCCCTCCCCCCCGACGGGAGGCCAACCTCGCCGCGTCGGCGTGCCGCACCCTCGGCGCCCAGTGCTTCCCCGCGACGAGGGTCCCTGCGAGGTTGTCGGGGGGCGGCGGGCCTGGTAGCCCCCCCAGTTCGTGTCATTTACGTGAGCGTTCCCCCCCGTTCGTGAGGCCGCCCTCCTGTCCACGAGCACTCGCACCCTACGCCCTCTCGACACCCATGCGCGTCCATTTGCGCGCACGTCTTCGGTCTGCTCCCGAGCCTGCCGGGAACCGCAGAGGAGGTCTCCAGACATGCGATGCCTCGATTTTTTGAAAAGGATTTGCCGGAAGCCCCGACCCTTTCATCAGGGCCGTTCTTCCGTCCCGGATTGTTTTCTGACGGTCCTAGGCGAGGGCCCCCAGAGGCCGAACCCAGCCCCCCCCCAGTCGTGCTTTGTTCCGCGACGCGAGCGTGTGTGTGTGTGTGTGTGTGTGTGTTTGTGTTTGTGTTTGTGTTTGTGTGTTTGTGTGTTTGTGTGTTTGTGTGTTTGTGTGTTTGTGTGTTTGTGTGTTTGTGTGTTTGTGTGTTTGTGTGTTTGTGTGTGTGTGTGTTTGTGTGTGTGTGTTTGTGTTTGTGTTTGTGTTTGTGTTTGTGTTTGTGTTTGTGTTTGTGTTTGTGTTTGTGTTTGTGTGTGTGCGTGTGTGTGTGTGTGTGTGTGTGTCTATCCCGCCTCCTGTTTCCCAGAGGAGGACGACATCACCTGCCTGGCCGCGTGGGTGCAGCACCAGCCCACCGGCGCCCAGGCCACGCCTGGCAGGGGCGCTTGACGCCCGCCGCACCGCCGAGTGCAGATGCGCCGCCACGTGCCACGGAGGCCTGGGCGAGGGCGCCGTGCAGATCGGGTGCGGCAGGGCCGCGCCGCGTCGACGCGGCGGCGACGCCTCGGCTACACAGAGGGGCCCAGCATGGCCCCGACGAGGAGCAAGCCCTGACGTCTTCGCGTCGTAAGTTTTTGGACGTGTTCTGGCCTTCTTGGAGGCTCTCTCGCCTCGAGATGCCTTCCAGCAGCCCCGCCTCGTCGAGAATTTTGTTGTGGCCCGTTCGCTGGGAAACGGCTTCTCGAAGCTGAGATTAATCTAGATTGGGGAAGATTGTTGGGATGGGATTGAAGTGCTTGCACATTGTTCATTTCTAATGTGTCGAAGGTTCTTTCATTTTCTGAGGGGGCAAGATCCTGTCATTTCTAATTGTTCTATCCTGGGCCTCTTCCTGGCCACTAGGGGGCCAGGAACACTTAGAAACGAGCACAATTAGAAGCGAGCACGATTAGAAATGAACGACGTGTACCAGCGCGGACCCCAAGCAGTGGCTTCTTGAACTCTCGGTGTGCAATCTGCAGGGGCAGGGCTGCAGCCTGCGCGGCACGTCTGCGCGGCGCAGTTTTTGAGGAGTGGAACAACACACAGACAATGAATCGTCGACCCCCAGGAAAATATTGGAAAATATGGGAAGTGGGGGGGAAGAGAAAAGCCCAGAAAATATCGAAAAATATCGGGAATCCTGGGATTGGTGTGTGTATTTATTTGTGTGTCCTTGGGCCCCTTCAAAGTTTACGCGATGCAGCTCACTTGTGGACAGTGCAATCTCCAATTCAACTGGCGCAACTCAGATTGCAATCGTCAACTCAAGTCAGCCCTCACACTCGCAACATGTCGGCAACACTCCACTGTCGCAATGACTTGATGGCCCTTCTCATCCAGATGGTGTTGATGGCGGTGCTGTTGACGAGGGCGACATCAACGACGGTGATTCAGATAAGGTTTCATGACGACGTCTGGGACGATACGACGATGGGGGTGGCGATGAAATTGATGGTGGTGATGATGATGATGATGATGTTGATGACAATGATGACAATGATGACAATGATCATGCTGACGATGATGCTGGAGGTTTGGTGATGATGATGATGATGATGATGATGATGATGATGATGATGGTGGTGGTGATGATGATGATGATGATGATGATGATGATGATGATGATGATGATGATGATGATGATGATGATGATGGTAATGACGATGATAGTGATGATGATGATGATGATGGTGGTGGTGGTGGTGGTGGTTATGATGATGATGACGATGATGACGATGATGATGATGATGATGATGATGATGATGATGATGATGATGAGGATGATGAGGATGATGATGATGATGATGATGAGGACGTGGTTTGGACAGATCCGAGTTGCAATGCCTGGGAAACAAATGGTATCGGACGTATTGCGACGTGCGCGCGAGTGAGGCCCGCTCTGTATCATTTGACCGAGTCGGTGGGTGCACGATGGTTGTTGACTGTCTTCGACATGCGCGCGCGTGTTGTCCCACAGAGTATCCTTTGACCGAGTGGTAGAACTCCGTGGATTGAGTTCATAATTCTAGCGAGTGCGAACGCAGAAATGCGGCACGCCTGCATTAAAAGCAAACGAAACGTGTTTGACGCCTGTCGGATAGCAATGTGTTGAAATGCTCAGAGGAGCCAATGACGTGCGAGTCGTTCTGACTTGTGTGCGCGGGGGCGCGCACCAGTGGCAAGCATGGACGTGCAAACCAGAACTGTGCAACATCCCGCTGGAGAGCGCTAGGAGAACACATGGGCCCACGGCTGCTGTCCTTTGGCCGCACCAGTGCCATGGTTGGTTGAAGATCCCGTCCACGGGGCCCCGACGACGACCTGCCCTTCATTGTAGGTCTGTGGAGGCCCGTCTCGGGCCACGGGGCCATCAACAGTCGGCTTGGAGAAGCGGGCTCAGGGGAAGGGGCAAGGAGGTCTGGGGGCCCGCACCCTGTCTCGGGCAAGTCAAGTTTCCAGACGCTTGGGTATGGCAGGTTGGTGCCAGGTCGATGCAGCGGCGACCCCGGCGCGGGCGAGCAGGGTTGAACGCCGCCAGCGGCCCAGAATCGGCTGACATCGAGCGACCCGCGCTGTTGGAAAATCGCGATCGTTCAGGTTGGCTGAGCTACGTACGCGGCCTCAGAATCCAGCACCGACGTCGTCGCGACACGAGCCTGCCATGCAACGAAGGATCCCCCTGGGGTGCAGCACGAGTTCCGATGAGGAGGAGGGTTGGGCGCCTTGGCGCCACACAGATGGAAGAAGCGCAGCGGCGCGAGAGAAGTTTTCGGCCGCTGCCATGCCGCATTCTGCCGCGCGCGCGGCCTGAGCAGGCGTCTCGCGATAAGTGTGTAGGGCCTCGCAATACCTCACAGTTCGTTTTAATCCGAGAAAAGGAGAGGCGACACCACCACCACCAGCGGGCCGCCTCCAGCGAGGACGTCCCCGATGCTTTCCTCGAGCTGACCAGAGATGTCTCGAGCGGGCAGGAGGAGGAAGATAGGGAGGGGGAGGGGGAGGAGGAGGAGGAGGAGGAGGAGGAGGAGGAGGAGGAGGAGGAGGAGGAGGAGGAGGCGGAGGAGGAGGAGGAGGAGGAGGAGGAGGAGGGCGAGGAGGAGGAGGAGGAGGAGGAGGAGGAGGAGGAGGAGGAGGGGAAGGAGGAGGGTGGAGGAGGAGGAGGAGGAGGAGGAGGAGGAGCCAAACAGGGGACCACACCACCAGGAGGACCCTCCCTGGCTCCTCGCGATGGCGGCGGTGGTCTCGTTGCGCTCGGCGTCCGTGTGCTCCTCGTCGAGCGGCGCGGCGTGCGTCGTCGGGCGGAGCGGCCAGCCGCAGTGCGAGGCGGGCGATCCGCGAAGAGCGCCTGCATTTTAAAGCTCAGCGTCCGCGCCTCAGGGGTCCACGGCGGGGTTGGCCTCGCGCTTCAAACTGCGGGGCAGGGGGGGGGGAAGGGGAGGCATCCCGAGAAGGCGTCGCGCCTCTCCGAGGTCCTCCTGCCATCTGAGACGCCTCCCTGGGCGCATCTGGGGGTGCAGGCCCCATCCTGCCCTCGTTCGAAGACAGACAGAAACGGCATGAGCAAGAATTGTCGGAGCTCCGCGCGAGTTTCGTGGATCTGCACTGAAGCCCCCTCCCTGGCGCGCGGGGCACGCCAGGGCGGCGCCGGAGGCGCTGCTAGGGAGGGTCAGCGCCGATCCAAAAGATCCGCGCGGAACTCCGAACGTTTATGTGTATGCCGTGTTGTTCCTTCTCCACTCTTAGGAGGCCGCCCCCTTCCCCTGACCCCCCTCCCGTGCGCGCCGCCAGCAAGGGTGGCATTATCTTCGGATCACCCCGCCCGCTTACTCGCACGAGAGTGAACCTCGACGCTCGGACTTGCAGCCGACTGCCCGCCGGCGCCACGACATTGCCTCGCTCCACGCCAACAATTTTTAATGCTCTGGCCCTTGTCTCCTGGGGTCTCATCTTCGTTTCCCCTCGTGCCCCTTGCGCCTGCCTCCACTCCCACGCCTCCTTCCCCCTCCCCACCAATTCCTGCCCCAAGGAACCACTACAGCTCCCATTCTCCTTCATCGTCCATATCCCCAGGCTCTCTCTCTCTCTCTCTCTTTCTTTCTCTCTCCTCCTCTCCCTCTATCTCTCTCCCCGTATTGACGGGGCCTCCAGGAGCCCGCCTCAATCCCAAGAGGAAGTCCATCACGAGGCTCGTATCTCCTCTCCACCCACAGCGTTCTGTTTCGTGTCCGTCATGCGCACGCGTGCAGTGCCTGGTGCACTCGTATGCTGGGGTCGCGCATGCACGGGTTGGGGCACACGGGTTGGGACAACGTGCATGTTCTCGTTGCCCGCAGTGCCTGGCTCGAAACGCTCCCCCGCAGAAGCTGCCACGCGCCGAAGACCGTGCGTGCTTGCGCCCCAGGCCTGCTGCTCACGGTGCCCAGCCGGGCGCAGGGGCGCCCGCTCGCCGACGGTGCCCCGTCCCCCCCCCCCGACTGGTGGCCGAGCGCGGGAAACTCCGGCAGCCACTCCGAGAAAGTTTCATGCCTGCGGCGCAGCAACTGATCACGGAAGCGCCACCCCTCACCAGGCGGGTACCATTTTGGCGCCGCCACCTCTGGCCCGCTGCAGTGACGCCGAGCACGCTCTGCAGCGCCACATCCCGACGGCTCCCGCGCGGCACGCATAGGCGACCCGCCCCGAGGTAACGGAGGACCCTCCTCCCAGCCGGCCGTGGCAAATTAAGGCGGAGACCATACACCTCACCCATGTGCCCCTGGCGCCCATCCCCACCAAGCACGGCCCCCTCAACAAGACCCAGGAAGTGACCAATCGGGCGGCGCCCGCAGACCCGCCGGACTGGGCCCCCTGGAACGTCCCACCGGACACCCACCTGCGCTCAGACGATGGCCCCGTCACAGGCCTTTCGTCTGCTTCGACGACGAGCCGTCCTGGCACATCGGTGCCACCACAGGAAGACATCGAGGTTGTCTACACCCGTGCAGCAAGCCAGACGCCAGGACCCTGCCCCAACCATGCCCAATGCGGCAGTGACGGGCACCAGCTCCGCACACACCGTAGCCCCAGGAGACGTGGGGAGCTGAACGACGACGATGGCAGCACCATGGACACCTACGGCCACCAAATCAGCTAGGTGCCGCACCACATCGGCACCCCAGGTGATTCGGGATTTTGACGTCAACCGCGTGTGGCAGTGACATACTGACACACCTGGCAACGCCGCGTACACCGCCCCAGGCAGTTGCAAGACCTACCTCGGAAACCTCATGACGCCAAGAGTCAACCACAGCAGCAGCCATGGGTTGGTGACCACAATCCTTACCCACTAGTCTCCAGGCCGGCGGTTTCGGCCCTTGCCACCGTAGGGAACCCCCCACTGACGGCCAAGCCCCCGCCACCCACGTACGGTAAGTTCGTGTCGTGTCGACCGGCGGCGACCCCGCCAGCGGCGTTCAACATTGAACGCCGCGGGCGACCCAGAATCGTTCGATGTGGAACGATTTGGACGTTTCGGAAATGGTCGATCGTTCAAAGTTGAACGTTCCCCGCGGTGTGAGGAACCAACGCCGGGGTCGGCACGACACGAAACCTGCCGCACTGCTGTGCCAACGCCGGGAGTCGGGGCTGGTCAAGCGCCCCCGCGCGCACACCAGGTCGCGCGGTTCACCGCCCGCCCGACGCACTCCAGCCCAGCCAGCGTTCACCGCGTTCGCCGCTTGCACGACCTTTCGGTGCTCGCCGAGCCAAGCGAGCGGACCACCAACAGCCGGTTGTGCCACGCGACAACTCACGAGGTTGTACCACGGAGCCGCAGATGACCACACCCGCGGCGTCCAACACTGCAACGACCCCGACGACGGCACCGACCCCGAGCGGGCCCTTTCCTGCCATCCGGGCCCGACTGGAGCCTATCGCAGCGGCCTGGGCCCCCGGAGACGACAGCGCGGACGTCATGGCAGCGTGGCTCGACGACTGTTTGACTTACGTTCACGCTATCCTTCACCTCCCCCAATTCGACCAGTTCTTCGCCAACGTACCAACACCCCCTAGTCGAGCTTGAGCGCGCACGAACCGCCGCTGACATCTGCCTCCACGCCTGGAGCCGCGCCGAGCTGGATCGTCGCCGCACCTCGACGGCGCTCGAACGGCAGCAAGAGCAGGCCAGGCTCGAACGCTTCTTCGATATCATTATTGGGTTTCACTGTGCGCGGGCTCAGCTGATCGGCCCCGCGGCCCACTGCTCGCCACCACCGAGCTACATGCCGCGCGCGCGCCCCCTTCCCGCGAGGAGCCCCGCCCCCCAGCGCAGACATATTTCCGGAGCTCTGCCGCGCCGCTCCGCTCCGGCCGCGCGACGAGCTCCACGCAGGCACGGCCCCCACGGCCGCGCTCCATGGCACTCGCCGAGGAGGCGGCCCACCTGACGCCCCGAACATGGCCGATAACAACGGTTCGCGCCATGCCGCCGACGATTAGCCCAACAGCAGCGACGCGGTGGACTCGGTCACCTCCGATCGAGACGACGTCCCCCCGCGACGGAGACCCGCGCCCCGACGTGCCGGCGTCAACGAACTGGCCCGCCCCCCCTGCAGCGGCGACCCCCGAAACGCGGCAGCGGCGATGCCACCTCAGACAGGGCGAGGACGACCCGCGCCCCCGCGCGGCGGCCTTCACAGACAGGCAGCTAACACGCGGGACCCCCGCAGAGCACCTCGTCGATGCAGGACGACCCTATGTTCTGCGCGGCCATGCACCTTCCCGCTTCTGCCACGCTCTAGGCCCTTGCTGGTGCTCTCATCCGCGACCTCCTGCGCTGACCCCAGCAGTGGAGCAACGGCGAACCGCCATGGACCACGTGGGCCACCGCTTGGTTACTCCTTGGTTTTCATGCGGCGGCCGCACCTTGCCCACCACCTAAACCTACACCGCGATCAGCCCGACCACGCCACCTCGGCTTGCCACCTAGCCACGCTGGCCTACGACCACCCCGGGCCAGTCAGCTGCATCGACGAGCCAAATAACGGCACGGACGCATCAACCGCGCAGGCCAGAGCAGCCCCAGGCGCCGCGAGCCAGCCCCTCTACAACGGGCAACCCTGCGACACAGAGGCACCCATCTCCGCCGTCGGAGCACGAACGGGCCACGCAACGGCAGGGCCAATTCAGCTCCCACGAAACTACTTGGTTCCAAGCCGACGACCGATTCGCCTCTGACCCCAGCGCGCCCGCGGACGAATCCGAGGGGCCTGGCCCACCAAACGGAGGCGAAGCCCCCTTTTCACACCCGTCATCCGCAGCAGCGCGGTCCATGCCAACGAGGGCGGTCCTGCTGGCGCCGCTCCCTTGGGCGATCTGGCCGGGCGCTGCGGTCGCGACGCCTAGCCCAAACCTTCTCCGGCAGCTAGGCCCCGCCCAACCAGCGCACTCCACCCTCCTCAGCACTGCGCGGAGGGAGCCGCGCCGGCAGGCCCGAGACCGCGCCACCAGCCACGCGCCGCCCCGCGCCCTCCAGGGCGCCGGGCGCCAGATCAGCGGCCCGAGGAGAGGCCGGATGCGCCACCGTGTCTCGCGCGGTCACCGGCTGCGAGCCAGCGACGCCGACGCGCACCTCACGCGAGCCCTCAACCGAGCTGGCGCCGGTTACACGCCTACCGGTACAGGTGTATCTGGCAGCTTCGCTGGTGGACCAACCGCAAGGACCACCCTTCACCGCGCCAGGCCGACATCCACCCCAGCAAACGCCAGATAGCGGCAGCAGGTCACAACCCTGCCCCCGGGGCCAACCCTCAATGCGGCGCGGCTGCCACGTGGCCCCAGCCGACGCTGCTCGTCCACGCGGGCGACACTCAGGCTACCACCTGCACGCAGATGCCCATGCCAACTGCCTGCCACGCCTCCCAGCAGCAGCTGCAGATGCTTGCGGGATGGCGGCCTGAACCAGGCC